CAATTTCCATTTACAGCTTTCCCAGTTATAGGTCCCATAAGTGATATGGATGCTGACTGCTCAGACGAAGACAAACTCATAAAGGGGTTGTCAGTCACGTTTTAGTCTTCACACTCAGGGCTTAGACCATAATCAACTCCTACAAGTGCTCTCATAATATCGTATTCAGATCTGCTCCCCAATGTCCTTGGCCTTTCATGCCTCTTCAAATTACACCGCAGACTCTTACATTGATGTTCCAGGACTAACCTTGCAATAAATACATTTGAGGATTTGTGTTTGGCCTAGATAAAACATCTCTAGGAACCGGACACACTCCATGCATTAGTGAGTCTCCTCTTCTGTTCCTCGGGGAGACCTCATTACAAAGGATTTAAGACCCCCATATCCTCCTTACCGCTCACCCAGACACAGCCACACCAGACAATACTGCTCATCCTACAGCCTAATCCTCAAACAATACAAGAGATTAAGATGCCCCGGATATTACCTAGTGGTAACTTATTCCAGGTCATCCAGCTGGGTACCAGTGTAATCTTCCTTGGGCAGACAAATGTAAATGGACCAGTGTGCTACAATGACTCAAATAGTGGCCAGATATTCAATATATCAGTGAGAAAAACAAAAACCACATCACAACTTTATTTCAATGTAGTAACCATGGCTACCTAATCCATATGGCAAGAACTCTTTACAAAAGAGAACAATGGTAAGTCAATCAAATCTTCACATGGGATATTAATATCTGTTCTGACTTGCGAAACATTCCACAACTTAAGAGAAGAGTGGCGACGTCGCCCAGAGCAACCAGATTCTTAATTACCATTTTTCTTCATGGCTTTCCGGTTTTAAACGATTTAGGAAACTGGCCGATTCTGTGTTGGGTTATGCACTTACAACATATTAATCAACACGGATGACTGATGTTCTAAAGCAAGGCGACACATACAGTACGTGTTATATAGTCTACTATAGAAACTGATGACAAGTCAGATTTGTGGGGGACGTCTACCAAACCCTTATAGAAGGTTTCCGTTTTTCCATTTAAAGGGCATCTCACTTCCTGTCCTGATGAAGCCTTTTTCTGTCAGCAACATTAGCACAGACAGAAGCAGTAATACTTTTTTTTTTATTAGAATAAGGGAAGACTAGAAACCTTGTCTGATTTTTATCCTTCACTTCCTGTTTGGTGAATCTGTTGTCACAGACAGGAAGTGAGGGGACGTTTCTCCAGAGGTAGAACAGTAAGCACCTGGCAGGGATGCTAATCCTTTCCTACTCTATCCACAACTAAATAGAAAATGCTTTGGCTGAGCTTACACTTGGAGAATTAGAAAATGCACTGTGCTGTATATATTCCTGAACAGTCATGCAGACAGCAAAAAATAAATGAAATGAGTTCACCACATGTGTAAAAACAGCCAATGTGGACATTCTCAGCAATTAATTTAGATTTCAGAGACAATTTAAAATGTAAACGATCAATTCACAGAGACTTCAGCTTTGGATAGAAGCAGACAGGTTAATGAATCTTCTTATGTCTCTCAGGGTCTCAGATGGTGTCTAATGAAGGGGTCCTGGTGGCCCTCGAAATGTTGCACCTTTGTGATATGATTGCTTTAAACATTTGGATTTCATTGTGAAGATCCACGGTGTGCTGGCGATATATACCTTAACTTGTGGTGACACCAATTTATAGCTGCTAGTTGCTACAGCACCCAACTTACTCCTTGCCAGTTCCAGGAACGTCCAATGGGAATATTACACACGATCAAGTGGTGAGCTCTCTGCAGCTGGTGAGAATTCTGTGGTAGATGTTCCCGTCCATCTTTTGGATTTCAGCTCCTCCTCTATTGCATTCACCATAATATAACAAATACATAAAAACACCCAACGGGGAGAGTGGGAATCCCTCATAATTACCACAGCAGGTGTGCTGACCCCGTATCTCCAGCATAGACATCCCACCAATTGAATCCCTTAGAGATATTAGTAACTATCAGGTGGTTCAATACTCCAGTATCTACCAAACACTGAAATATCAGCTTTACATAGTTACATAGTGTGGCTGAAAAAAGACAAAAGTCCATTCAGTTCAACCATTAAAAAAAAAAGTTATAATCCTACACCCACAGCTGATCCAGAGGAAGGCAAAAACCCCAGCAAAGTATAATCCAATTTGCTCCTGCAGGGGAAAAAATTCCTTCCTGATCCCCCGAGAGGCAATTGACTATTCCCTGGATCAACTTTATCTATAAATGTAAACTTTGGGTGGTCTGACCTTTTAAATCACTGAAGCCACACAATTATGGAATTGCCCTATAGAAGATCATGCATGGAAAATAGTCTATAAGTAAGGAGATAAGTAACAAAATCAAAGAAAATGATGATACACTACTAGATAAAATCCTTCATACTAATAAAGGGCTTGTAAACCACACCATTCCAACTCCAATGCAAGAATATACATCCTACAGGTATCTGCGGAACTTATTTTATACTCAAACTCATCTCTATTGACACAATTCCAATGTGGAAAAAGCAAATATTACCGTTTAGAGTCAAAAACCTTCCAAAGATAGCTGGTGCTTTCCATTGCACCCAAACAGGCAGCTGGTGAAATCTGTGCAACCCTACCTAGGGAGGAATATATCTTCATAAATAAAATTAATAGAAAAAAAATACAATAAAATCTACAGTTACTGCTTCCGGATGAATATTCATTGAGACATTTCCATCAGATTATAAATCACAGAAGGCTCAATTCACAAAGCTTTAACACCGGTTAAAGACTGACATTCTATTTCCAGCCATGTGACAGTAATTTTCAAATTTCATTGGACTCAACTGAAAATAACTGTCACTTTAAGGTTACTTATTCTGGTTTGTTAGCTTTGAAACGTGTCTACAGAGAGGAAGACAATCACCTGGGAACAGATGCTGTAATTCTGAATAGACGATGATTTGACTAGAAGAAACCTCTGACATACTGTAACATTGAATAACTTTTGACAGTGATTACTGGTAACGCTGTCAACAGTTGTTATTAAAATGTTAATCCATGTTGTATCTGTACCGGCTGGGAAGAGCGATACTGAGAGTGACAATGTGCTAGCATATTTTTTATTTGTTCTTTTGCATCTCTGCACCATACATTAGCCCTGTGTCCTTTAACATATGATCCTGCATGAATGCTAAAGGACAATATTACATAAATAAATATAGTCTGATATGTATTACTACTATTACTTCCTTACATTTAAATGCAGACCAAGCTGTCCACCAAAAGTGACGGGCTGGGACAAGTTATCATTGCCAGGAAGGAGGAGGCAGGGGTACAGCGGGGATGTTTAATTCCTGCATGAATATTAAAGGACATTATTACATTAAAAAATATAGTCTGATATGTATTACTACTATTACTTCCTTACATTTAAATGCAGACCAAGCTGTCCACCAAAAGTGACAGGGGCTGGGACAAGCTATCATTGCCAGAAAGGGAGAGGCAGAGGTACAGCAGGGATGTTTAATTCCTGCATGAATATTAAAGGACATTATTACATTAAAAAACACAGTCTGATATGTATTACTACTATTACTTCCTTACATTTTTAATACAGACCAAGCTGTCCACCAAAAGTGACAGGGGCTGGGACAAGCTATCATTGCCAGAAAGGGGGAGCAAGGGGTACAGCGGGGATGTTTCATTCCCATTTTGCACGTTTAATGTGCACAGTCAACAAATGAGCACGATCAAAAGCAGAAAATACATTACAGCAGACATTTTATTATTAAGAATTGGAGAACTGCCATTGCATGTTTGAATGAAAAGACATTTTCTGTTTCTATACAGCCACGGTCTATTCTGAGAAGTGACAGTTTCTGCCTGTTCTTACAACTCTCAGGTCTGTGGGTATGTAGGATGCCGATTGAGTTATATGTAGAAATAAAACCCCCACAATAGCATGATGGGACAAACTGCTAACAAATGAACAAAGATGTACAACAAACAATCATAAAATTCCTCTCTGGTTGGAGATCAGTATTAATGTCAGCATTTAGATACAACATCTCTGTTTACCAGTACCCACCAATGTGTGTCGCCTTTTAACCTAGCCTAAAGTGTGTACATTTATTGCCAACGCACCCCAAGGGCCTGCAAACACAAGTGCCAAACGGGAGCCTTTATGTCTAAAGTTCTCCCAAGTGTAAAATCCCGAACTATTCACATTTTGATTCACATATATTGTTCTGTGTTCAAACATAAAACAGTTATTGTGAATTTATTACAGCAAGGAGAAAGACCCTTGAGAAGTCATAAGGACCCCTGCAGAAGGCGAATCAATAGAAGCAGTCAGTGATCTCTTACCACCAAATAGGGTAACCAGCAGACCAAGACGGGGGTAGCAGCGAAAAACCACAGGAAGTGCAGAAAGTGGAGCCTGCCCATGGGGGGAGAGCGGTGAGCGTTGGAAGAGTCAGGAGACCTTGCTGGAGAAGTAGGGGGCATCCCATGAGAAGCTCGGTTTTTTCCTCTTGCTGAGTGTCTATTTTGGGGGACAGAAGGTTTTGGCTACTTTATACCCTGCCTGCTGATCATGACAAGGAGAGGGAAGCTAGATGTCACCAGACAACCAATCCCAGAACCATGAGACAAGGTAAGAGAATCCTCCCTACAGGGAGCAGTCAATCAAAGTGCCCCCTCCCTCTCCAACAATACTTCTTTATCCAGCCTCCTACTTATCTCTCCTCTATGCCCTTTCATGTCTCCAAATCTCACTCTGTCACATCTTTCAGGCTAAAGTCAGTGCAAAGAGCAACAGTAATGAGAAATAAATGCCGCAACCTAGAGCAGCCAATCACACGTAATCTTTCCTGGTCTTTGTATGAGCTTTCACACAATTGTTTACTAAATGCAGTCACTGGGTCCCACTGATCACATTGTCACACTGTACAGTCTCTGCCATCCAATGTACCATAGATGGTTTACATCTCACAAAACTACTACAGTTCTGCTATCAAAATGTCACATCAGAATGTTCCAACCGGACTCATGTATAACATGGAAGCATGATGACCTGCCACGTATTTTGTGTATTTTATTCTTGTTTCTGTGCCATAGGGAGGGTCACAACTACGTAGTGCCCAGGCTACAGAAGCCCAATCCATACAAACCTTTTGATGTCTTTTTTTCTCCAATGTTTTGGAGGGAACAGGAAAGACTTAGAACTCACCAGGATTATATTGTCATCTGTGCACCCTGATTGGGGAGAATTCCTCTCCTGCCCCCCTGACCCCGGGACAGGAAGTAAGTAGAAATATATTCACTGAACAAGTCAACTGCCTGACAGGGGGGACCTTGCGTGTCCCCAAAAGGTTACAGCGGCCTGCCCCTCTGACCCCGGGACAGGAAGTAAGCAGAAATAAATATGTTCACTGAACAAGTCAACTGCCTGACAGAGGGGACCCTGCGTGGCCCCAAAACGTTACACGGCACCTCTACTAGTGTCTTTATAATCAAATCAGATAGGGAAACATTTGAATGTATTGGAGCTATTGCTTAAAGTATATGTCAACCCTTACCTTGTCAAACAACTCATTCAGTGTAAATTAGAAATGAAAGGAAAAACATTTGTGTATACATATAAAAACAAACATTATAAAACACTTTTTCTTCCCTCTTTTTTATAAGTGATCACATACCCTCTGTTCTTGGGTGCACAAGAGCTTGGGGAGGAGAAACAGCATTACACTGATCTTCCCAGTGAATGGCAGTGTGCACGTGTGTGTGTGTGTGTGTGTGTGTGTGCGCATGTGTGTGTAGGGGCTCCCCCCCTACACACACACGCGCACACCCCCCCGGTCAGGACAAGTCTGACTATTGGAAGAGAGCAGCTAGAGAACTGACCACGCTGTGTTCCCATGCCTAGTGTAGTCAATTTTTAATAGGAAAGTAGAGGGAGTGACTGCCAGGAACGCCAGGGATTTCAAACAAAGGAAGCAATACAGAGGGGAGGCGATACTTTTTCATACAAATGCATGGTACAGCAGGTACACATCAGGAAGATGACATTTTGGGTTTACATATTTTTTACAGTTGAAAAGCCATCTATCTCATCACTGCAGCACCCTTACTATTCCATTTGGAGTGCAGCTGGGACTTCCATTTTCCATCAATTCAACATGAAAACAAAACTTTTTTTACAGAACAGTGTATAAGAGGTTAAGGCAAGTGACTTTGGCTAGGCTGACATGAGGTGATTTCCTCCAGTGATCAGACTGCAACAATAAATTGTGGCAAGTTACAAGGTGAGAGGTTGCAGCGGTGGCTGAATTGTGTCAGACAATTGTGAACACAGCCAAGAACTGCACAGGCAACAGGATTTACACAACTGTCATCTCTGAGCTGACATCTCAGCCCAGGAAGTGGATGGTGACACTTGACAATGTCTAAATAAGATGGCTAGATCCTGTTAAGAACAGCATATTTATTTATTTCAGGTACTTATATAGCGCTGTCAATTTGCTCAGCGCTTTACATATATATTGTACATTCACATCAGTCCCCAACCCTCAAGGGGCGTACAATCTAAGATCCCTAACTCACATTCATACATACACATACTAGGACCAATTTGGACAGGAATCAATTCACCTACCAGCATGTCTTTGGAGCGTGGGAGGAAACCCACACACAAGCACAGGAGGTACTCCATGCAGGAGGTACCATAGTCGGGAATCGAACCCATGACCCATTTACTGCAAGGCAGACGTGCTAACCACTAAGCCATTGTGCCACCCCATATGAATGCATTGTCAGCTAGACTACTGAAATCTCTGCCCAAAGTAGTAAACCCCTCTATAGCTAGATTCACATCTATGCGGTGTGGTAACTTGCACCCAGGGGCGGACTGACAACTCATGGGGCCCCCCGGGCAATAGGGGATCATGGGGCCCCTGTGTCCTTGCCCACACTCAAAGCACACCCAAAAAAAGCCTATAAAAAGGTACCAGGGGCATCTCGTGGGGCCCCCTACTGACCCTGGGCCCTCGGGCAGTGCCAGAGTGCTCGAATGGTCAGTCCGCCCCTGCTTGCACCTGTGGTTTATTGCACATTACCGCCATAGACTGTAGCACAGTATGTAATGCCACCCCAAGGCACACCTACACCTGCACTATAGCACCCCCAAGCACAAATGTGAATTCTCGGTGTCGTGGTGTATTGTATTGCCAGGAATAGTGCAGGTGCTGTACTTCATACATGGAGGCCCTTTAACATCGTATTCAAATAGAATCAGCAACCTTAATGTAACGCATGTCAACGCACAGTAATGTGTGGTCTTAAGGAGAAAAACTAAAGTCTCCAATTCAAAAAACTGTAAACAGGCAGGCTCTTCATGGGAAAAGAAAGATACTATGTATCCCAACCAGGGGAGGACTGACAACTCATGGAGCCCCCGAGCAACAGGGGATCATGGGGCCTCTGTGTCCTTGACCACACTAAAAGCACACCTAAAAAAGCTACCAGGGGCATTTCATGGGGCCCCCTACTGACCCTGGGCCCCCGGGCAGTGCCCGAGTGCTCTAATGGTCAGTCCACCCCTGCTTCCAACCTACCTGCCTAACAGTCTTCCTTAGAATATACTCTGAGCAGCGCAGGCACAGCTCAGTTTGCACACATATATACAAAAAAAAAAAAAACGACTGTTAGCACTACAGGTGATCTGGAACATCAAGAAAGTGAATGGATATGGAGATGGCTTCAAATAGTGTTCCTCTTCTGCTGATCTATTAAAAAGGGTTCCTCTTCTGCTGCACCATCAAATAGTGTTCCTCTTCTGCTGCACCGTCAAATAGTGTTCCTCTTCTGCTGCACCGTCAAATAGTGTTCCTCTTCTGCTGCACCGTCAAATAGTGTTCCTCTTCTGCTGCACCGTCAAATAGTGTTCCTCTTCTGCTGCACCGTCAAATAGTGTTCCTCTTCTGCTGCACCATCAAATAGTGTTCCTCTTCTGCTGCACCATCAAATAGTGTTCCTCTTCTGCTGCACCGTCAAATAGTGTTCCTCTTCTGCTGCACCGTCAAATAGTGTTCCTCTTCTGCTGCACCGTCAAATAGTGTTGCTCTTCTGCTGCACCATCAATAGTGTTCCTCTTCTGCTGCACCATCAAATAGTGTTCCTCTTCTGCTGCACAATCAATAGTGTTCCTCTTCTGCTGCACCATCAAATAGTGTTCCTCTTCTGCTGCACCATCAAATAGTGTTCCTCTTCTGCTGCACCATCAAATAGTGTTCCTCTTCTGCTGCACCATCAATAGTGTTCCTCTTCTGCTGCACCATCAAATAGTGTTCCTCTTCTGCTGCACAATCAATAGTGTTCCTCTTCTGCTGCACCATCAAATAGTGTTCCTCTTCTGCTGCACCATCAATAGTGTTCCTCTTCTGCTGCACCATCAAATAGTGTTCCTCTTCTGCTGCACAATCAAATAGTGTTCCTCTTCTGCTGCACCATCAAATAGTGTTCCTCTTCTGCTGCACCATCAAATAGTGTTCCTCTTCTGCTGCACCATCAATAGTGTTCCTCTTCTGCTGCTGCACCATCAAATAGTGCTCCTCTTCTGCTGCACAATCAAATAGTGTTCCTCTTCTGCTGCACCAGATCAAAAAAGGAGCTGACCCTGGGGAACCCTGTAACACTTCGACCTTGCTGCCCACTTTAGATTTGGGAAACCTTAGACCACCGACTACAACAAAAAGAGAAGTCACACCAGCCTAGTGCATGAACATGAGATCATTTTATTGTGTAAAATATATAAATCCAATATACTCACAAAGGTGAACAAATGCAAGCATAAAATCAATCAAGTCCCAATGCTGAAACAATGTCCATCAAAAAGGGTGGAGCTTACGCGTTTCAAGGGTAGTGCCTTCTTCATCAGAGGTTACACAAATGCACAGGAATGACATCATCTTGTGCCAGCAAATGGAGATGAGAAGATAGCCATCAGACGCTAGGTAGAAGATGCTGATTCCAATGAGGGACCTCGGACTGTTATAGCCGGATGTTCGTTACAATTTAATGCAAATGTAGGACTGGGCCCCCTAGTCTTATATTTACATATTTAACATTTTTGGTAAGGGGGAAGGACTGGAACCACTGTTGCTTTTTTATTGGTATATTCGTTTTTCTATCCAAGTGACCCCAGTTACTGGAAAACTCCACAGTGGGGTCACAGATTGCAACAAGTAAAGGTGTCAGGCTCTCCCCAATCTATCCAAGACTAAAAATGTAGCTGGGCTTGACCTTTAAACATTGACGATAATCATGGTGATGTGACATTTCATCATATGCCTACTGTGACAGAGAAAACTGTATACCAAAATGATCAGTCAGCCTGGGTTCACATATATGTGATTCGCACAGGAACCGCACTGCATCTCTGTGTAAAACACATGCGATTTGTGCGCGGTGCGATTGGAACCATACATTTTCGATGACTCTTTTCGCACAACACCCAAAACATGCAGGACCCTTTTTTTGGTCCACACTTGAATCGGATCGCATGGGTATTCACACCTATGTGATCCGATTCTGCACATTGCACCGCGTTTTGTGGACCGCTTTCAGGGTGTTGTTAACTTAACATACACACCTGCAGCGGTTCACATGAACAGGGTGCAATTCTGATGCGGTGCGGAATTCGCACACAAAACGCTGCAAATTCCGCACCTCATCATTGTGAACCAGGACTCAATCCAGATATAGCAGCAGATAAAGTTACATGTTTCCTGTAAAAGTTCAGCTAAACCACCCCCTCAGCCCCTACTAATCCTTCAGTATGATGGACAGCCTGAACTATGGCCGCTCTTTGCACCCCCCAGTGCTAGTTTCTCTGCTGGCAAGAATCGCTGATTCTCACTGCTGCCCCCATGTCAGTGAGGCCTTATGTACTATCTACTGTTAGGAGATTGAGTGTGAGAGGTCAGGCAGTTGAAGGATCAGAACACTTTGAAGTCAAGATGACCACTGACCCCAATGGCCAAGCACAAAGTAAGACTAAATAAAGTGACAAATGAGAATATTTCATACGTAACAGTTCACAATTAATAATTTAATATGGAGTATCAGGGGTGAACTGACCATTTGGAAACTCGGGCACTGCCTAAGGGCCCGGGGTCAGTAGGGGGCCCCATGAGATGCCCCTGGTACCTTTTTTCATAGGCTTTTTTGAGTTTGGGCAAGGACACAGGGGCCCCATGATCCCCTATTGCCCGGGGGCCCCATGAGTTGTCAGTCCGCCCCTGTGGAGTATTCAGCTTCCCATCTGTGATGGGTTTAAACAGAATATGTGGCTGTTTAACAGTATTGGGTATCCCAGGTGGAACTGCACACTGCATCTTGGAAATCACACAGTTCTGAATTGTCCTACATAAGAAGGGTTTTTTTTTTTTTTTTTTTTTTTTTTAGGGAAAACCACTAAAGGCTTCACTTAGCAATCATCCATATTGCCCCACAATCACCAATCGCCTTCCCTGTAAAATGTTGAATTTTAAAAGACCCAAACGGATTGGTTTCTGTGAGGCAGCACAGACAGCTCTCGGATCTGGGTGTCACATGACGAATACAAATCTTCACCAACTTGGCCATTTACAGTTTGGCCCTACGAAGGCAGATGGATATGGAGCTATTTTCAGGAAGATGCAAAATTAAAGCATTCCCTTAAGTCTAAATGAAAAGCCCCCTGTGGGGATCGTCTCCAGGGAGACCCGAAACTGCAGGACAACCAGCCAGAGGAGAGACACAGTGGAGAGAATTAGGGGGGGGGGGGTCTCATTAACCCCTGCGCTGCATAGTACACACCAAAATAAGAGGAGCCACAGATCTGCTAAAAATAAACCACATTGTCCCTCGGCATACACACACACCCCAGACATCCACAGTACCTTGTTCCCGGGACTGCGCAGGCTGCTGGAATGGCCGCTGCACACCATAGCAGATACTGCTGTCATCAATTTTAAAGATTACAATCCGTAAAGGGACCAGTAACTTCAAGAAGGGTTATAGGGCTGTCAGGTGTTTTCTGGTTTTGGTCTGTAGTTAGCAACTCTGACAAGTTTTGTTGTCTGTGTCCCAGCTGGGGAGAGGCACCGAAAATAAGGGACACTTTGGAGAGATTTCACTTCCTGCAGGGTCTCTGGGGCCAGAAGTGAAATCTCCTCAATGAGACTCAGAAGGCAAGAAAAAAAAAAGATGGGCTTAATTATACAGGGTTGGTGAAGACCTACTTTCATAGAGAATAGCAGCAAATGAAGCATCCTATGAGCATTGCGATCTGGGGTTGCATGTCTAGTCATGTGTTCTTCAACGGTTTTAGCTGGACATAGACTCCGACAAGATTTATACTCCCATACGGAAGAAGAATATATTTGAAATATATTTTAAAAATATTCTTCCCAAATATATTGATACATATTTGAAATGCTACAATTATGGCCGTATTCAATATATTTCAATAAATATATACAGACACATATATATACACACACACACACACACACACACACACACACACATATATACACACACACACATATACACTGTATATATATACACACACACACACACACACATATATATATACACACACACACACACATATATATAATATACACACAATATATACACACACACACACACACACACACACACATATATATATACACACACATATATACACACACACACACACACACACACACACATATATATATATATACACACACACACACACACACACACATATATATATATATACACACACACACACACACATATATACACACACACACACACACATATATATATACACACACACACACACACATATATATATATATACACACACACACACACACATATATATACACACACACATATATATATACACACACACACACACACACACACACACACATATATATATACACACACACACACGCAAATAAGTATTTGATCCCCTGCTGATGTTGAATGTTTTCCCACTCACAAAGAAATGATCAGTCTGAAAATCGAATGGTAGGTGTATTGTAACACTGAGAGACAGAATAGCAACAATAAATTCAAAAGAAATGCATGTCTAACAAATTATACACTGATTTGCATGTTCATGAGGGAAATAAGTATTTGATCCCCGATCATTCAGCAGGTTTTCTGGCTACCAGGTGTCTTTCATACAGGTAACAAGCTGAGATTAGAAGCAGTCTCTTGAAGGGAGTGCTGCTAATCTCATTTTGTTTCCTGTATAAAAGACACCTTTCCACGGGAGCAATCAAACAATCAAATTGCAAACTTTCCACCATGGAAAAGACCAAAGAGCTGTCCAAGGAGGTCAGGGAAAAGATTGTATACCTACACAAGGCTGGACTGGGCTACCAAACTAAGGCCAAGCAGCTTGGTGCGAAGGTGACAACAGTTGGTGTAATCATTCACAAATGTGAGT